AAAGATCAATAGAGAGTGGCAATTTTGCAGCGAGGGAGGTATCTCTCCGTACAAGTTGTTCTCATGCAGATGCAGTGAGGTGAGATTAGGTAACAACCCCATTGATGGGGGTATCTTGCCTGTCAGGTTATTGCTTCCCAGGTTAATATGAACCAAAGATTTCCAATTCTGCCAGCAATTTGTTAGCCCTCCAGAGAGATGATTATCAGATATGTCCAAGTATACCAAATTGCTTTTCCCATTTAGCAGCATCTTATGATCACACAAGAGAGGAGAAATGGATCCTGATAATGAGTTACTCCGCATAACCACAACGACCACATTTGATGATAATCGAGGCAAACTACCTTTCAAATCATTTGATAACAGAGTTATGTATGTAGAGTTCAACAACACTTTTGACAGGTCCCCATCTATTGAATTCCTTTCTAAATCGAGGAAGGTCATTCTTGATACAAAATTCCAAAACTCACCTTTAGCCTCAAATGATGAGTCCACAATAGTTAGAGACTGAATAGATCTCTGGGTATATAACCACACAGGGAGTTTAGAACCCGCAAATCCAAAAATTAATTGTTGAAGTTGAAAAGGTGGAATCCAGTGGGAATCAAAATCAAAGATTATTGGTGGTGAGATAGACAAATACTCTAACTTTGACAGTTTGGCAAAATTTCTCTCGGACACGACCCCTGTCAAATGATTTGAGCGAACACCTAAGACAACTAAGGATGATAGGTTTCCCAAATTTATGGGAATAGATCCAGAAAACTTGTTTTTATGAAGATCAAGATATTGTAGATGTTCAAATTGGCCTAACCAATCTGGAATTGGTCCATTGAAATGATTTTTTTCTAGGCCCAAGGATTCCAAGTGTCGCAGATTTAGCAATGCCTTTGGTAGTTGGCCTCTTAAAACACTTGAACCAAGGCAAATTTCAGAGATACCACTAAGATTGAATAACCATTTGGGCAACTCTGAGTCAAATTCATTGCTGTGAAGATTAAGAACTTCAAGTGCAGTAAAATTAGCATACTGAAGAGACGGACTCAAGTTTTTCAATTGACAACTTCTCAAGTACAGCTCCGAAAGTAATGGAAGCATTGTAGTCACTGACTGAAGCCAGTTAGTTTCCTTGTGAAGATTAATGCGACTAAGATCGATCATTTTCAAGGATGAAATGCGGGAAAGCCAATGAAGATTATCAATGGCAAGAGCCTCATTAGATGATAAATCAAGATATTCAAGAACCGAAGAGTTTGCACAGTACTCTACAGATAGGTTATGACAATTTTGACTATCAAATTGGATATTTAAGAAGTCATTATTATGCAAATTCAAGTACTGTAGAGATTGAAACTGCAGCAAAGAAAGGTGGATAGAACCTGTGAGGCAGTGTGATTTATCCACTTTGTCAATGTAAGTTGGAAGAGTTGTAGAACATGGGAGACTGAGTTCAGTGACTCTGCTTGTGATGTTGTCACACTTCACTCCTATCCAATCACAACAGTCTTTTTCAATGGACCATGAAAAGAGCTTGTCTGATGGATCTTTTACTCCTTGTTTGAAGTTCAAGAGACCTTCCTTGTCTTTCTCGTTGCACCGAATCTTAGAGCTGCATATGCATGTTTTCAACATGATCATTGCACAAAGCAACCATGCAAAAATGATTGCATATTGAGACAGAGATGTTTTCATGATCGCGTGAGAAATTATGAACGGGCTAGCTAGGGAGCAACATGAATTGTGACGTGTGGGAGAAGTTTGGGTCTCTTAAATATTGTTCCGAATCTTGTGCATGGAAAAAATAAGGTCGGGAAGGGTCACATTTCCTTAGACACTTGACCCCATCCATGACACTAATTTGCTAAAAGCTTTAAGGAGATCATTAAAAAAAACAAAAAGGTGAGGACTCTTCTGAAAAATAACGACCCTTGTAGAAAAATTGTTCTATAAAACTAAATAAAAAGGCAACTAAACTATACACGCAATATATAAAACCAAACGTAATTTCTTTATATGAAAAAAAAACGAAAAAAGAAAGTGAGCTTCTTTAAAAACTTCTTAGAATTTTAGACAATACTTTTAGTTTTAATTTTAAAGCATCTTCTAATCAATATTTTTTTTGAACCGAATGGGCTCTTAAACACAATTTTTTCTCGCAGTAATCAAAATAATTATTTAGTTTTACATACGGATTATATTACAAATTCTTTAAAAACAATCTGTATTTAAATTAAAAAGTTATTTTGCATTGCCACAAATTATATATGGCACAATTTATCATATTAATGTATAAATTTTTAGTGAAATATTTGAGTTTCATTATTGACAGATAGATTCCGAGCACGGCTTCTTTATTATTCTCCTTCATAACTTTTTTTCTTTCCTCATTTGTTCGCCATTCGAAGAATAATACCCATATATGAATTTAAAAAATTATGAATGTGTTACATAAATTGCGTATATGTTTTGTCTATTAGACTTAGTATTTTCACCCATGCAAGTGAGACATCACATATGACATCAAACGGTAGTAGCTCAGTTAGTAATAAGAAAACTGAATAAGTGAAAAGAAAAAAGTTTCGGTTTGATCCCACATGACACCTTTGGGAGGAATTTCAATATCTTTATTCATGACCTGTCCCACACTGCGGATTAGTTCCATAGCTGGCTCAAAGACTCAAAGCTTAGGGAGATATTAGAAAAAATAACAGATAATTAAGATTAAATTAATTTAAAAAAAAAACATCACATATAATAATAAGATTGAGTTAACGGGAGACGGATGACAAATGAGTTACTTGGAGGATAAAATTTTACAAAATAAAAGAAATATTTAAATTATTTAATAATTTTAGGTTAGAAAATCATCATAATCAATCTTTTTAATTTTTATAATGTGACTGAGGTTTGGACCACTAATTTTAAAAAAATTATTCAAATATCTTGCTAGTAACTCAATTCTAACGATTTTTTTATATCACTAGCTAGTCGATCAAGATCAATTATTTGACGAACCACCACCAATTTTTGCTGGCTCAATTCAAAGTTACTGTGCAATCAAAGAAAAATTGCACAAATTCCTATGCAGTAACAAGGAAGAAAGATGGAACAACGCGGAAACGCGTAATCAACAGTATTTTGTTGGTCTATAATTAAAGATATTCTTTATTATTCCCAAAAAAGAAAAGTATTCTTTATAGGTTTATGCATATCAAATTCAGAGAAAAATAGTGTCTTGTGAATATTTTTTAAGAGTGCGGTGTATTTTTTTAATGGGTTTAAGTTTTAGGGAATTGCTTTTGTTATCTAACATAACTTAAAAGCAAATTTTCTACTCTCACAAAAGGAGGAGAGAGGGGAGAGAATAGGAAAAAGAGAAAAAATTTAAAGTGGGTCCCATATAAATTTGTGTGTGTAGGAAGATGATTTTAGGTTATGTTACATGATAAAAACAATTCCCTAAATTTTATTATCTTGCTGCAAATTAAATTTTTTTGCACCACACACAATCAATGGTGGGGTCTACAGTTGATTAAAAAAGAAAAAAACTATGAGTGATGTGATGTTTTTTGTGTATGCTGCAAAATTCTTTTATTTGCTGTCACGTAACAAAACTTTAATCCTTTTTTAATTTAGGAAAAAATGTATATCATTTTAAATGATGTAAAATTGTGGTTCATTTTAAGAGAGAGAAAGAAAAAGATAAATGAGGAGAGAGAGTTGACAAAAAAATAAAGGTGTGGGTCTCGCCCAAGGTTGTCAAACTCGCGATTTTATGTAAAATCGTGAGGGAATAGTAAAATCATAAATCGTAAAATCGCCATGAATCGTAAGTTTTTACTTTTAAAAATATATAATAAATATAATAATATCCAACTAACATTATAAATAAAAAGACACAAACTCATAACCAAAAATTTAGAGACTAAGTGCTTAGAGTACAAAGTTCATCAAATTCTCAAAGTTAGCATCGTCGTCGTCATCTCCCACGGCAACTTGTACTTGTTCTTCAACCATTTCTTCTACTTCCAAATTTACAACCATGTTTTCTCCACTTTGGATTCCCACCATGTTTTCTTCAATTTGAGTTTCTAAATCCAAGCTTTCCTCTTGTTCTTCATCCTATTTCAGAACCACATGCTTCAGACAAAGAGAGATACGCACCCATATCTATGAGATTCAACACAACAACGCTTACAAATTTTTCTTCTCCTCCTATTTCAGGGTTGTGTAGTGTTGTACTCTGCGTTTTCTCTCTTCCTCTACAATGGTAAAGAAAAAGGCTACGATGCATTAGATGAAGACAAGGCGATGCAACACGAGACATCAAGGGTTCCTCTATGTTATTTTTTTTGTTTGTTTAATTTTAAGGGTAGTTAAGGTATTTTTCAAAAAAAACTAACTCTGTGAATTTTATTTTTGGAAGAAAAATTAATCTAGTGATCGAGTAAGTGATAAAGAAACTTTAAGTAGTGGGATAAATGATTCAAAATTTTGAGGAGGGGATAAGTGATTCTAGAGGAAACTTGCTAGGAAGTTTTTAAAGTTTTCCCTTAAATAAATCACACAAAATTAATATTTTGTCGTAAATACTTTTTAAGAATATTTATAATGGAAAAACTAAATAGTACGTGCGTTTCTTGTTGACATGCATAAGACATTTTCTTTAGACACTGGATAAGACATTTTTAAAATATTAAAATTTAATTTTATAATCTGTCATTCTTTCCTGCTTTAAAATAATTTTTTTACTTAAACGCTTAAAATAAAAAGGAAAATGTTACAAAAAAAGGAAAAAAAGTCAATGAGAAAAAATATATATTTTGGGTCAATGTTAACCCTATGGACTATAGTTTCTTGCAATATATATATATATATCTTGCCACTAGTAGATCAAAAAAAATCAATGACTCTGATATATAAGCATATATTGATTTTTTTTTTTATCTAATAGCTCTCAGATGAGGTGTCAAAGAATCCTGTCTCATATATATATATCTTGCCATTTAACCAAAGTAGCTATTGGCTTAATTTTTTTTTTTTTGTAATATATAATAAGAAAGAAACAATTCCTATTTATTTTTGTGTACATGCATCAACACTTATCAGTGAACGTAAATTATTGTAAGAAACATAATTGTGCATATTTAAGAAATGGAAAAATATCCGTTTACAAATTTTTTTTTACAAATTTTTGCAAATTACACTATATATGTACTTCCTGGAGAACATAGTGTAACCTAGTGTTCTACCGGAAAAACATAGTATGGTTTGTAAACAAAAAAATTATAAATATAACCATCTCCTTAAGAAATACATACAGGAACCTTACAAGTTACGAGTAATTAATAATATATATGCTTCAGTGGAACCAATCTGTAATCTCTTGGTAGTTAAGTACTGAGTTGAAAGCTCGAAGTGTCTTGTTCAAGGATATACACCACCAAAAGAAACTGTAATTAAGTTAAGTAAATTAAATAACACTTTCAGAGGTAAATTAAATAATTAATAAATTTGTTTGTTTTTAACTTTAAATATTATGCCACCAATACATGGAAAGTGTTTTTGCATGCAGAATTATTTTTCCAACGACTTCTCTTGTGAGAAAAATGTCCGATGTGTTTGATTTATGTAATTTTTTTATTAATAATTATAAAAGATCACTTTATTAATATATACCTTATTTTTTATTTTTAAAGTTTGAATGGAAAATAATACAATTTTTTAAAAATAAAAAAAATATATGACATTTTTATAATATTAATAATAAAAAAAAAAACATTTTTTTTCACGAAACAAACATACTCTCAAGTCTCAATGGTTCTTCAGTCTTTGTGATGGCACTTTGATTTCTTCTCACTAAACTTAAAGTTTGTCCAAAATATGACTACTATAGCCTATAGGGTTTGATAACTTCAATGGCCTTAATTAAGGGTAAATTGCAATGGGTAAGCTTGCATGTAACATGCAGTTAATTCGGCAGGCTACGAGATAAGAAGAATGTGCATAACATTCCCTGGGATGCAAACTGTTTGGGATAAAACAGAATGGTTACGATCTTGTGTCTAGCTTCTTCTTTTATATATATACACACATATCTCTGACACCGTTAGATCAGAATTTCAAGATGAGAGAGATGATAAAAATTAGTTAAAATTCTAATCTAACGGTGTTGGAAATAAGTACGTAGAATATCTATGAAAAAAAAAATATGCATAATATTTTATCTCAAAACATAAATAATTTATCGGAAAGTACCCAATTACCTATATGGCGTATATTATTATTGAGATGATATATAATAAAAAATTTAAGAGTATGATTGGTTATAATTGTTCTAATATGGTAATGATAGATAAATAACTATATAATATAAAATTGTAGAAATCATTAATCGGAATAGAATATGTTATTTATTACAAGGGAAAATATTTTCTTCTTTTAAAGGAGAAATTTTTTCTCCTATTAGTGACTCATAATATAAATGAGGTATACAAAATAGTGGAGAGAGAACAAAATTCAAGGTGGGATCCACTATGCTATGAGTCACTCATAAGAGAAATTTTTTCTCCTTTTAAAGTAGAAAATGTTTTCCCTTATTACAATTATCTTTAAAAGAAAACAGATTAGAAGGGAATAGGAAAATATATAATGTTATATAAATCAATTGAAGTCTCGATGAAAAGGTTCTA